ATTTATGAAAGGGGATAAAATTTATTTAATAATAATTAAAAAACAAAACAAGTCCTAGCCATGAATATTAACAACTTTGTTTTATCCTCTGGGGTGACAGCATGTGCTATTTATAGGTCCAAATATTGGAGGTAGCAGTTTCACAGTGATAGGATTACCATAATCTGTGCACTAAAATAGTAACTCGAACCTTCTGACTCTGATTGTAGGATTTAAAAAATAGTTTCACAGTGGGATGATGAAGAGATGGAAAAAGACTGTGATTTTACAGATTTTAGAGGCAAAACAACCCAGCTGAAGGTACATGAATCCCATCACTCAGTCTTTATTACAACTGGGCACAACTGATTTCATTCAGTGTAATCTTTTGAATCCTGCCCTGAAGCTTGTTTTTGTTGTCAGGATTTGCCAGTAAACATGTTTTCTTTTTTCCCCATAAAACAAGACATCGGCAAACTGGCACTGCCTGACATCATCCTGCTGAGTACACGTGTCTTTGTTACCAGGGAGAAAAAAACCTTGGAGAATAGATGAATACTGCTGTTAACTGGAAGTGACACACCAAACTGCTCAGTGTGTATCAGCGCATGAGAGCATGTGTATGGACCCTGGCGTTACTCACCTGATGACGCTACTCTTTTTTTTTCACCCTAAAGCATGAATTAAGTGCCTTTACAGTAGCATCATGTTCTTGCTGTAAATAGTTATTAGCTCAAATTACAGTAATACCCAATATTTAAACACCACCAAAATAAATATCCTCATATGTTTCACAAAAACATCAATGTCTACCACATTTGTGTATTTGTAATAATTTGATACACATATTGATATACATAAAACTGTAAAAGCAACAGTACTGAAGTATTTCTCTTCAAAACGTGAAGAGTATTACCATTTAACTACACATTTACACATCCGTTTATTTCTTCTGTCTTTACAGGCTAAACTCTTGAAGCGATAACAATGTTTACTAGATAGTTTTGATGCTATGCAGATAGCGAGATAGATTTTTAGTCTCTCTTGGTGTAAGAAAAATAGTGAGGCTGGTCAGAATGAACTGTTTTGCACACATACATACCTATACAATGCCCGGTCACTTTACTAGGTACACCTAATAGAGACGTCTGTTCAACTGCTCATTCACAGAAATAAATCAACCAAAAACTTTGCAGCAACTCAGTGCATTTGAGCATGTAGACATAGTTAAGACGACCTTCTGAAGTTCAAACTGAGCATCGGAATGGGAAAGAAAGGCAGTTTAAGCGACTTTGAATGTGGCATGATTGTTGGTGCAAGATGGGCTGGTCTGAGCTGCGGATCTACTGGGATTTTCCCACGCGACCAACTGTAATGTTTACAGGGAATGGTCTGGAAAAGAGAAAAATCCAGTGAGCTCTCTGACTGAAAATGACTTGTTGATGCCAGAGGTCAGAAGAAAATGGGCAAACTGTTTTGAGCTGATAGGAAGGTAACAGTAACTCAGATACACACTCGTTATAACCAAGGTATACAGAAGAGTATTTTGTTAAACCTTGAAGCAGATGGGCTACAGCAGCAGATCACAATGAATGCCAACTGTGTCAGCTGAGATGAGGAAACTGAGGCTACAATCCCCACAGGCTCAACTGGATATGCTGTAGAAAATGAGAAAACATTGCCTGGTCTGATGAGTTTGGGTTTCTGCTGTACCATTCGACTGAACATGAACATGAAAGCACGGCTCCATCCTATTTTGTATCAACAGTTCAGGCTGCCGTTGGTGATGTAATGGTGTGTGGTGATATTTTCTTGGCACAATTTGGGCCCCTTAGTACTTCAGTGCTACAGCCTACCTGAGTATCGCTGCTGAAAATGTTTGCCCTTTTATGGCCACTGGTTTCTTGAACATAGCGTTGACTCCTTGACTTTACTCAATTGGCCCCCACAGTCACCCGATCTTACATCATGGATGCAGTACCAACAAATTTGCTGCAACTGTGTGATGCTGTCATGTCAATATGAACCAAAATCACACTTAAGGAATGCTTTCAGTGCCTTGTTGAATCTTTGTCGTGAAGAATTAAGACAATCCTGAAGGTCAAAGAAGGTCCAACCAGGTATTAGCTAATGATGTGGCCAGTGAGTGTATATATTTATGAAACCAATAACTCAAACCTCTGAAAGCTCAGTCTCACGCTAATTTCAACAGAAGTTCCAGTTTCATTTACAGACTTTTTATGACTCATTTTTTCATTCAATGCGATGTCACCAATTTTTTCCACACTGATTTGATCCCATCACTTTTACTTAGTTCGTTCACTCTCCAGCCTGTGTGGTAAAATCCCATTAGTATCTGCTCACATAATCTAATTATTCATTTGGCTTTGCAATTTCTAATAATGAAATCTGTCTGCTTTCTAGTGCTGACCTCACCCTGTAATCTGGTGAATTAAAGGATTTGCTTAAGTGCATTTTAATCCACTGGGGCTTTACTTGTGGAAGATTTAAGCTTTAATTTTTACTACGGTAAGCTAACTAATCTACAGTATCCTTTCTGGTGATGCAGCGTTCGCTATAGTGATATCTCACAAGGTCAATGTAAGAGCTACTCATAGAGACAGGAATTTAAACTGCATGACATCACTTTTGAAAACAAGCCATTGTCTGTTAAACTGAAATAATAGATCGAGATCCATTTTTAGCTTTTGGAAATGTTCTGCTTTATCTCAGAGGGGCCTGTGCAGCTCACAGTTCAATCACATTCATCAACTCCCACAAGAGGTTGAAAATAATAGACTGTCGCCTGCCTGGCCACTCACAGAGTGCAGACCATTAGAGTATACACACACAGACACCACATGCCTCCCTAAAATGCCCTGTAGGATTATAGGAGGCAGGCGAAGGGTGATGCACCCTGGGGACAGGAGAGATTACGCCAATGTCGTGCAGGACTCTTTTTATTTTAGGCATTTCTGAAAATCCTTTTCCAACTGTCTTTCAATGCATAATATCTACATAGGGTGATATTAAAATCATGCATTTATAAAATGAGGTTAGTTTTCTGTGACTGTGAGTGAATAATCTCTTAGGACATGCACATGCTGCAAGGACAGATACAAGCAGCTATGCCAAATATTGTCCTTGGCATTAATATCTGTGTCCCTAAGAGGAAAGGATCTTTGTATTGTTTCTCCTCTCAAAACAGAAAAATAAAAAAAAAGAGTTCATTCAGACTGATGGACCTTGAATCATGTTTTTAGCTAATCTTGGTAGTCAAATGTATGAGTGTAGAGCTTCAGTGTATTTGGTGTTGTTCACCTTCGAGAGGACAAGTGTGACCTCATTGGTCTGCTTATCTGTCACTAATGAAAAGACGTCCTCTTCATCTCCAGACTCTAAACGGTAGTCCACCTGCCAGCTGTCTCCACCTCGAACATCTGCATCCCTCGCCAGCACAGCTGTCACTGTCGTACCCACCAAGGCATCCTCTGGGATGTGAAAGGGTCCGTACTGATGGGGAGAAAACACAGAGTGAATGATCACTAAGAAGAAAAAGACTATCTTTTAAAAAAGTGAAAAAGTGTATGGAAGCATTTTGCATTTTTTTAAAAAACAGATCTCAAATTTCTCAGCTCACATTAGTTTTCACTGACCCGGGACATACAAATTGTTGGGGTTTTTTCTCTAGTATTGAGGCACCAGTTGTTGTGAATTGGTGTTATATAAATGAATCTGGCTTTGCAATAACAGCCCGAGCGAATGCTAAATAATAATAATGATTATTTATTTCTTGTCAAGGCCACTGCAGCTTTTGCCAGCAAGCTGTTGATGTTAAGATTGTGCGGTCACCAATAAATGCCAGTGATGACGGATTGCCCAATTTTCTATTAAGAAAGATGGGTGACTGCATGTGACAATATACATTTGCCCCCTCTTGCCCCCCTGGTGTGAGCTGACCTTTATTTGTGAACCTCTCTGTGTTTAGACAGCCGTTTAATCTGCCACTCCTGGATGTCCTCTAGAGAAGCAACCATGCCTGTGATCTGGCTGCCCAATCCACAGGGTTGCTGAACCCAGTCCTGTCACCACTCACCTCCCACATCACCTCCTATTGGGCTGCACTGCCATGGAAAAAGCTGCACTACTCAGGCGTGACCTGTTCAAGAGCATTTTCCACCTCTGTGTTTGTGTGTTTGTGTGTCTGTGGTAGCGATTATCTAAGCAAGTGTGCATTTGTTTTTAACAGCATCGTAATGATCATCCAACAATGTTTGAAAGCTGTTTGATTAAAATCCCCAAGTGTCCATTACACTGGGCGTGGATGTAAAGAATAACACGGTGTCAGCTGTTATGTCAAATCTTTGATTGATCTGGAAATTGATGTCAAGGCTCTGCAGTCGATTGGTTTCTGTCCTTGACCAAAATTAAACCTTCTTTCATAGAAAACCACTGACCAATTACACAGTGGGCCTGGAGCTGCATTATTTATGATGCCATCCTCACAGAACTTTCTGTGAGATTGTAATGGCTAAGATAACACTGCTTCTTATACAATTTCTGCCATGTTAACGACACTGGATGGAGCTGTGTAATCATGATGTAGCCTGCTGTAGATTGACCTATAAATAAATGAGTGGAAATTTGTCTCTAAAGAAAGCTTTATCAGATTAAACTCTAAAAACACTGTCCACTTGGAGTACAGAGAGCCGAATAAAAGTCTTCCAATAACATATGCCATCTATATAAGCCTGAGATTAGTATCATATCTAGTTCCCCGCCAGGAAAATTAGATCAGTGACCTGCGAAGCGCGTTCACAGTCCAAAATCCACAGATGATGTTTAGCCTGCTATTTTTCCAAAGCTATTGTTTATATTGCCCCAAACAGATCAATGCGTGAAAGGCGTCCTAATCTCTGTGCACAAGTAACTGTTTGAACACGTGTTCTCGTACCTCGTGTTGGGAGAACACCGGTGGGTTGTTATTCTCATCCTGCACCGTCACAACCACAGTGCAGGAACTGTTCAGACCTGCCAGGGACAGGATCACAGCTTCTGTTAGTGACTCAGGTCAGCCCTTCTCACAAATTAAGAAGGCTGAAGGAACAGCAAGTACCTCATGTTAGCCTTCGTCACACCCTGAGTCCATGAGTCATGCTGATCACATCATCTGTCACCCTAGAGGCTAACATATATACATCTCTCGGAAATCTCAAGGGAGTCTACTGACACACTTGCTCACAAAGGTAATTAACTTTTGCCTATAATAGTCATTATGAAAGATGACATGTTTTATGTATAATTATCTCTGATGCACCTGTTTGTATCACTGCTATACTGCCTCTCTTTAACTCCCTAAAGTACAAGATAAACACCACCTTTTCATGAAAATTGCGCTATAGCTAAGGTTGTATTTTGCATTATACATAGTCACCTTTGGCATCCTCAGCAGTGATGGTTAGAGTGTACTGCGGTGCCGTGCCCTCCATACTATCCGCTTGGACCGAGATGACCCCTGAGTCACGGTCCACTCTGAAGAGGGCACGAGGACTCTCTGGAATTTGTCCGACTAAGCGGTAGAAGATTCGTACATTGTCCGTCTTAGGGTCATCATTATCAGCCGCTTGCACTGTCAGGATTTCTGTCCCTGCAGGAAAAAATATATGAATAAAGAGGAGGAGGAGGCTCTCTGATTTATCATCAGAAGATATTTTCAGTTAGCTCTATAAAAAAGGGTTTTCTACACTGTTTAAAAAATGTAAAAACAAAACAAAACAAAAAAAAACATGTTTTTTTGTTTTTTAACCACAAATAGAATTTGACCATTTTACCATTTAGAAAATTATCTTTACATTTTATGTTTAAAAAAATATGTATAATGCATATACAATATATACATCATTGTGTACATACTCTTTTTCTTTGGCAAATTTCAAATCTTTTTCAAGTTTGACTTCTCCTTTTCTCTTTTCTCTCTTTTAACTCTTTTATCAAGTAATAACAAGAGAAGCTAAAATGACAAGTCTCACAGCACACTGATTTAAAATAGGGAGAGAGTACAACAATAGCTTTCTCATATAATCCTCACTAGGGATGGGTACCGGTATCCGGTGCCATGATGGCACCGGTTCTGACATAAACGGTAGTAACCAGACCGAAAAGCAGCGCACATTTCGGTGCTTTATTT